ATATTTGATTTAAAAATATTGTGTTCGTCTATTGTATTTGTATTAGCCGCCGATATATCTCAATTTTCAAAGCTCCAAAACTATAGTTTGTACCAGAAAACGATATATTACTTTTTTTAATGCCGACCCACTGCTTGAAACTGACGTTTTACGTAAGTCATAGATAGAAAATTTAACAAAACCTTACTTCCAAAACCATCAAACTTCATAATTAAGTAAACTGTATACACCACGAGTCGTTAAACAAGTGTAATGAGGACAGGAACTTTATAATCTTGTCTTGAATGGTAGTGAATTTGGTCAAAATTGTTGACGACCGTTAAACATAATTTCAAACTGCTTACTACTTAAAAATAGGCCGAGTTAAAGAATGTTCCTGAACTGAAAGATTCTATTATGAATTCCGAACCGGCCACACCTTCCTCCTACACCAGATTTTTTTTGCTGTTATTAATGCTGGTTAATCTTGTATCCAAAACTTTTTGAAAATAAATAATACGATGCTAAAACTGTACATGCTGTGCTGATCAAGTTCTCAGCTTATAAAAAGCTGCAGGAAACAACTAAATAACCCGCTAGGAACAAGTTGTTAATACATTTTCCTGTAATTGAACGTCGTAAATACGATATTAAAGATTTTACCTTTCTTTAGAGAAGTGTTTCGTAGCGCTGTTCAAATTTTGATTTTTAACATGTTTGTTCTGAGATGAAGGCATAAACCCGTTAGAGCCGTAAGGATTGCTAATATATAAAGAATTCACCCCAGGTGTGACAACATTGTATTGGGCTCTATCCGGCGAGCTCCACTCTAAAAAAAGTGAAAGCTAAAACCGGAGGAAGAAAATAATACAAATGAAAGTCCACCCTGCAAACAGTACTAAGAGTCATGGACAGGTGAGTACCTTTCAAGAAAGAAACTGGAGTCAAAAGCTGGCTTATACCTACTGATATTAAAAAGTGGTTGAAGATGGGTAATGAAGTATATTAAAACTGCACTTTTAAGTGACAAAAAACTAAACATCGTACAGCACAACTAACTTGATTTCCGTCGAAAACGACTTGAGTGAACACTGTTTGGGTCTGGAGTATGGTAAGAAGGAGACGGCTTGCTTGAACTATCAGCCATTTTCTCTCTTAAATATTTATCCAATTCATCTTCGTCCTCCGCAACACTCGGCTCTATCGAAGTTGCTACAACTTCACGAGCTGAGCATTTCCTATTCTAAACATCATGAGTTAGTTCTTCAAAAGCAGAAATTTCGTTGCAGTGTTAAAATACCTGTACCAAAAAAAGTTACATAAATCATTAAACAAAAGAACGATTCACAGCAAAATTCCTGTAATTTTTTTAAGCTTTACTAACTGTTCCTAATACTATTAGGAAAAAAACCTTCAGCCTTTACAACGTTCATTTTGCCTAACTCTGTAAAATGTGCGCAGAGACATCTTAAAGTCTTTCTATCAAGTACTTGGAAGGTCATAAGAAAATGACTACATGCACGACAGAGATTTTTAAAAACTGCAAAAGGCAATTACATGAGGAACGAGCAAAGATGCAAGTTCTAAACAAACCCCTTCTTTTTACTGTCAAAATTACCTCAATATTACGCAGCTGCTGGTTCATAACATCATTCCGCTTACGCTGAGCGCTAAGGCGATTTAATTTCTTTGTAAGAGCAGCAGCAAACGCTTTTCGACCTTCTTCGGTATTGTGATCATGACTGGTAGGCCAATCCAATTTTTCTAATCTCTGTGAATAGTAAAACTGAGAATTAGAAATAATCTGAGGAATAAATATGACATAGCAAACAATGACACTTGGTTTAGACTTCGACAAATCCCTTACTATATAAGGACTATCCTCCCTGAAAAAACTGAATTGATAAAACTGAAAAAATCACAAGAGGTTCAGTTGCTTCAAAAGCTCAGAAGAACAGACTGTGATATAAAGAATATATAGTAAGTTTTTACATTTTCATACCCACAAATAATTTTTTTGAATACCTATTTGCTGTAATTCAACATTCTTTCCTTTCCCCGCAAACCTAATTCAACAAAGCATCTATAAAGCAAGTAAAATTCCACAGAAAATAAAGGTTAATAACAGAAACAATGAGAAATTTATAACTTACAAATGCAAGATGCAGGAAACCTTAACCAAAAACTTCGTAAGTCCACTGCATAATTACGCAGACAAAGTCACGAATTTCACCACCCGTTAAAGAAGACATAAACGTGAGACTACAAATTCAATAAGAAATATTAAAAAAATGCATACAGCTAACGTCAAAGTGGTAGGATTGTCTCTGATTTGCTCCTCACGAATAGTGCTCAGTTTTAAAACAGCATTTTGATTGTTTGCAGCACTTGAAAATGTAGAAGATACAGCTGAGTCATTTTTACTCGTCGTTGCATTACAAACATAAGGCATTCTTGAAGCTGGAGGATAAAGCTTCTCCACTTCACTAAAAAGAAAAATTAAAACCCCAATTAATAACGCTCTGCTTTCCAGTGAGAAGAAGAAATCAAGAAAGAAATACACTACCGTTAACCTAAAGAACACTTTTTTATGATTTCAGCATATACTTTCCCATGTCCTGCTCCTTAATCATCAAAGTGAAACTTATCCATTTAGAAATGTAACTTAACCTATAAGTCAACTAATGAAAGACAAGGCGAAGGAATAATAGCGAACAAATGGAATTTTTTTAAATTTCAATAAACTGGTAAAGAGACGTACCTCTCACCAAGAGTATTTTCCCGAACGTACTGCGTTTTTAAAAGCATTTCAGCAGTTAAGATAGGTTGATAAGTGAAAGATTTACGTGGTTTTCCTCGAAAACTACTGCTAGTTGGTGGACCTAATAACGATTTTGCTGAACTATCTGCTACCTGATTATAAACTTTGAAGAACTCATCGGAAGAAACGAATTGCGCATGCTGTTTGCGAAGAAATGTATTTAAGTACGGAATCAGACAATCAAAAACAGTCGGATCTGGGTCGCTTTCTGATAAAGAATGAACGCGCAAACTAACTTCATTTCTCACATCCTGAATAAAAAATAATCCTTAAATTTGCAAAAAAAATCCCAAAAAAAAATTTTAGCAGTTTTACCTCAGGAAGAAATGTACAAAGTCCCGTATTGACACTAACATATCTACGATGTAAGTTCTTGCCCAGTTCTACCGTACGATGATTCTTTTCTGCACACATATTTCTAAAACAAAAATTATATTTTAAACTTACATCATTTACTATAACGTTAAACCACCAATACTGAAATTACTAGCTATATAAAAAATCGAGATTCAAAATTAATATATGACATCAATACAGTTCAACAAACTCTGTTAATGAAATTAACAGCGACTAGATAATACGCCTAATTTTCCACACGACGGGTCATTACTTCTATAACGCTTCATTCTCAGAATAATCTGAATAATCTGAATTACTCCTCCCATAACTTGATCACTTTGAATGCTCTTCCCCAAAATGGGTTCACTACTCTAAGGTTCATACTAAAATTCTTTCATTATGCGACCTCTCTCAATCGCATTTACATGAAACACTACTGCCCAGTTCCTCGTTAGCAGCCTGAACCATTAATGACACTTACTATAACACAACCTGGTGTTTGACAATTAAAATTCATACTTGCCAGTTATACAGCAGTTACTTTTCAGGACCTACTTTACCTTACCACTGGAACGTAATTTCTATTTACGATCCAGTCAAAGTTTAATAATAATTCTTACTGTTATACCACGTCAGAACTTCGATAACAAATCGAGCTGTAGCGCACTCAATAAAAATGGATAGAATACAGAAAAAAAAATTTAAAAAAAAAGTGAATTCACGGAATATGGATAAAACAACCTAGGAACCCTGTAGTGATGCCCTCTAAAGTTCAACAGAAGAAATATCAAAAAAAAAAAAAAAAAAAAAAAAAAAAAAA